TTTATTTGTTTGGGTGGATTTTTGTTTGTTTAATTTTTCAGAAAATACAAACATTTTTGTATTTTTAAACAGGTGCAAGAGGGGTTTGTAAGGAGAAGAATATTTTCAGTTTCAACTAACTTATTTGGTGGAAACAGGCAAGGTTTCAGGAACACAAACTTCACTTAAATCTTGAAAAAAACCAGTGAATATAAAGCTAGGTCAAGTGTCAATTAATAGCAATAAACAACTTTATAATCCAGGGAAAAGTTTGTTTATGGGAAAAATCTACCAAAAATCTAGTAACTTCAAGATGGCTCCAGGATTTTCTTGTCTTGGTATTAACTCCAAGAATTTGGGTGGGGAGAGTGTTCTTTCTTTGAGGCTATCTTTTAGGTTTCTTTGTGCATTTATCACATATTTCCAGTGGTGTGACTTCAGCCAGACACTTTCCATAAGAATATGATTCACTGTGTAATTTATGACATGCTTGGGGATGTGCTTTGGACTTCTTTTCCTGTTTGGGAAGAGGGACAGGCTGGATGTGGAGATGTTTTGGAAGCCTTGGCTGCTGTTTCTGTGTCACAGTTTGGTTCTGTTTCACGTCAGTGCATGTGAGGAAGGGCTTGTGCATCTGGAGTTCATGCCCTCCCTCTCCTTATCACTTCATACTAACCTCTCATAAAAGATATCACCTCTCCCTGCAAGACCTGCCTTTCCTGTATCCTTGGGCACTTGCAGATGCAGCAGGAACAGCAGGGATCTGTTGGATATGCAGTTCTTGTGGACCACATCTGTTTGTTTTCTATCATAAAGTACCTGGGATTTTCTGTGGTGCTGGAAATGATTGTGGGATGATGTGCCTTTTCCTGAGACAGAGTGGGATGCTTTTCTAAGGATGTTAAGGGTTCATGCAATAGCATTGTTGCATAAATATGTAATACAGGTTTGAACATACTGGCATAATAGTTTAAAATCTACCAAAAAAACCAAAATAAAAATGTCTGTATAAGTTGTGAACATGACCTCATGAATGAGAGTGGGAGAGCCTGGGCTAGCATTACATCTCTCATAGCATAGCCCCAAGAGAAATGCTTTAGCAGCATAAAAATGGCCACTTTTTCCTCTTTTCCTTCTGCTCCAGCTTGGTGTTTATAGGTAAAGTCTCTGCAGTGGGAAACAGAGAGTGTGTGCATCTTCACTGCAGCAATGTTTAGTATAGCTGTTTAGTGACAGGCACAAACTTGAGCCAAATGGTGAGAATTGGGATTGCTAAGAACAAACTTGCAGGTGACCATTTTTAACCAGTGACCTGGTTTGTGGGGTTTTTTTACCTACCATTGTATTTATAGAGGGCTTTCCTTTACTCTCACCTAAGAATTTTTGTGCCCTCATCTTAAGAGGATATTCACACAAAAATCTGATTGTGCCTGTTTGGGAGAATGTTCCTTGTTCAACCTGGCCTTGGACATTTCCAGGGATGGGGTAGCCACAGCTTCTCTGGGCAACTGTGCCAGGGCCTCACCACCCTCATAAGAAAGAATTTCTATTTCTTCTTAATATATAATCTAAACCTGTTCTCTTTCATTTTGAAGCCATTCTCTCTTGTCCTATCACTACATGCCCTTCTCTGACTTTTTTGTAGGCCCCCTTTAATTATTGAAATTATTGGACTGAATTAGTTAAAAACACCTGTTTCCTGCACCTTTTAGTGAGTGGTTCTCTTCTGGATGCTGTGAGGAAGGTGAGGCCTAAAATGATAAACTGAATACAGACACATATTCCTAAACTTCTAATTAGTAAAGTTAGACAAAATAAAAAAAATAGAAAAGGAAGAAAAAAACCCCAAAGTGTGCAGTATTTGACGGGAAGTCAGTGTAACTGCCTTGAAACTGGAGTGGCATGCCTGAGTCAGTGAAGTATGAGCTAAGAACCTGGCAGGAGCCTTTTGCACAAAGGAAGGTTGAGAGAGTCTCTCAGGAAGCCTGTGCGCTGCTAAATGTGGCATGTTTGAACATGAGACTGACATCATTGTGAGTTCATAGTAGTGAAAGAACAAAGTATCAGCCACAAATTAGACTGACCTAATTTTTAAGTCACTTATAAAAACTTAATAGCACAGTATCTTGCTTGTGCAAGCTGTTTATTTCTATCCCAGCCTCTGACTACTTCATTTAAACTGCAAGTTAACCCTCTAAACTGTTAAAGGAGTCGTTCAGGAAGGTGGGGGGTGTTTGAGGGGTGCTGCAGACTTCCTTCCTTGGCTCTTTTTCTACTCTGACCTCAGTTTTCACATAAAGGAAGTGATTAAGGACCACCCATCATATACCTTCATCCTTCAGGATCAGTTTCTGGAGGTAAAAACCTCAGGACTGCTACCAAATCCCAGCTCGTTCTTATTGGCTGCTCACATGCAGACTGGAAGTCTGTCTGCAAATTGCCAGAACACGTGCCAAGGGTATCAGCAGGAATTTATATAGACTGAGTAAGCTATTATAAAACCAATCAGTATCATTTATTGATGTATCCATGATTGTTGACAAGGAACCAATGCTTCTTCCATTGCTGAATACTTAAGAAATACAAGGATCTTGCAGTTTGCAGATGATAAACTTCTTTCCAAGTATTTTAGTTGGCTCTGCATGCCCTGAAGTTGATCCATTCTGTTGATGTATTACTTCAGTTTTTGCAGAAATATTATAAACTCTCCAAGCTTGGGATTACTTTGACAACAGTCAGTGCCTTTCCAGTTGCTTTTTAAAGGGCTGTAAAACAAGACACTTCTACAGATTCTGAAGAAATGTAACATTTATAGTTTTGTACAGAGCTGTGCGTACATGTAAGCACACATCACATGGGATAATATGGGTGTATTTTAAGGGAGTATATTTAGTTTCTCTTTGATATTCAGAATTCTGTTATAAACCAGAGAGGTTGTTATAAAACATTTCTTGTTGATCCTGGTCCTTGAGTAATATGCCTATCAGATAATAACATAATTTACTCCCTTGGTTTGGTATTGTTCATTTTTTCCCTTCAAAATTACAAAAATCCTGGTCCCTTTTGGTTCTTGCTCTCTACATAAAATGGTGGTTGCATTTTGTCAGTTGTTTTTGAGGGGGTTTCTGTATTTCATGGTTAGGTCACTTTTCATTTTCTACATCAGGCAGGAGCACCTGGAGGGAAACTACAAGAGATGTTCCAAGGGTGTGGAGTGATAGGACAAGGGGGAATAGCTTCAACCTGACAGAGGGCAGGGTGTGTTTAGGGATTGGGAAGAAATTCTTCCCCGTGAGGGTGGTGAGTCCCTGGCACAGGGTGCCCAGAGAAGCTGTGGCTGCCCCATCCCTGGAAGTGTCCAGGGCCAGGTTGGGCAGGGCTTGGAGCAATCTGGGATAGTGGAAGATGTCCCTGCCCATGGCAGGAGGGTTGAAATGAGATGGACTTTTGGGTCCCTTCCAACCCAAACCATTCTTTAATTCTACTTCAGTGGTAAGGTTTGTAGTGATGCAAGAGGCACAGCTGGGGAAGAGAAGTCATCCTCTGCCCTCCTTCTCCCATTGTACAGATGTGTGCAGCTTCTCTTTTCAGCCATGTGGTTACCATGTTAGAAATGTGACTTTGGCCCTGCTGCAAGTCTTGTATAACATTATTCAAATCCAAAGAAACATTTGGGATCCTTTGGGAAAGACACACCAGAGGATGTGACCGGGATCACAGCTCAGTGAGGTGCCATGACTCCTGCTTCTGTTCCTGACTGAGGCCCTGCTGGTACCATCTTGTCAATTGAGTTAATATTTGAAAGCAATTGTAATAAGCAAGCCATCATAGTTACCTTTGTGGGTACAAATTAGGTATGAAAGCATGTTCTGTTCCCAGAGTGTGAGGTGTCAGTAGTCTTACACCATGGTGAGAGATTTGAGTCACAATCATCTGGATCTAGGGGTCTGTTAATTCGTTTTCTGTGCCTCATCTGCAATTCAGCCATCACTCCATATCATAGCCTGAACAGCCCAGAATGGAGGCCTCTGAGCAGGATTACTGCAACTGTTTAATTTCTGGGAACATATAACAACTTGATTTATTTCTGCTTGTTAATTGTGAGCCATTGCTGTACAGCATATTCCTCAAACTTTCCTTTTCTACTCCCACTTGAAGATAGCTGGGCTGTCCCCTGTTTGTGGACTTGCTGTTTTCCGGCATCTATTCTGTTTCCTTGCCATGTAAATGTCATTTAAGGAGAAACTCAATTAAATTTAACTGCTGTAATGAGTAGGACTGAGCTTACATATGTGTAATGTCAATGTTTTATTTGGCCCAGCCTCCCATCTGAAGATGCTTCTGCATGTTTTTATCACTATGTAGCATACACTAGTGGCAATATTTATTTTGCATAAAGCATGCAGAGGGCTTTAAAATGAGTTTGATAACAAACTTAATCAACACTTTTATTAGGTTTTTTTTTTTTAAACTTCTAGATATTTCCCTGTACAGCTGATAGGACATGCATGCAGCGCAGTGCAGCGCTGTGTCTTCAGACACAAGCAGGAAGAAACAAAGTATTAATGTTGACAGTTTAAAAAAAAAAAAAAATTCCTTTCAAACTTTCTCATGCCCTGATGTGAAGGGGTTGAATGTGCATGTTGCCTTCCGGGAGAGCTGGTGTCATTTCCTCAAATGGGTAAAAGACCAGAACGTTTTAACCCACGTTGTTCCATACCACGCAAGCAGATTACAAGTCTCTGTCCTTAAAGGAGATTGACTCATTTTAGTCATTCAGTTTAATTTAAGAGAAGAGTGAATAAAAAGTCTGCTGCAACAAATTCATCCCTGCCTTGCCCAGAAGCTCTTCTGATTAATATCCCTAATAGAATTGCCATCATTATCCTCTGTCTTTAATCCATCCTAGTTCTTGGTTTCAGATCCACCTTCTGTTTTTATCATACAGTGACCACGAAGTAGATCAGAGTTACCCTTTTTTAAATCTAGTTTTTGGCTCCTTATTTGCAGGACCATATTATTTGGATGTCTCCCCCTCAAAGGTTCTCATTAGGCAGAATGCCTTATGTTTAAAAGTTAACCACTCTCTGAAGAATCTGGGATCCCATCTTACCCTCTTTCCTGGTAAGCCTTTGAAAGAAGTATCATGGACTATTATAACAGCTGTGCTTGATGTTTATTTAGCACTACTCTTCAGAGCACTCCTCTTTTTAATCTGTTTCTCAGGAAAAAGATGACCATGAAAATACAAAAGTCTCTGTGTTGGTCTGCAGAGCTACAGAACAGGTGATCCAGAACGTGAAGCTTGTGTAGGAGATTGAAACCTTGGTGTTGTGAAAGATGCTGCTGTAAAGCACCCATGTCATACAAATAGTATAGATATGCTGGAATTGCAACAGCTTGAGGATTTATGAATTAGTTCAACACCTTAAGGTTTTCATTGTGTTACTTTGTTTTCTTTGTGCCTTTGATATCTACCATACAGTTGCTGGTAGAGGCTGGCAGGTGTGGGCAATTGGTCACAATTAGACAATCAATCTTTGCCATTTGGTGTGCAGGGCCAAAGTAGCACTTGTGATGTGTTTTGTGGGGATAGGCAGTTGTCGTTCAGTTCAGTTGTCCTTCAGTTTTAATTTGGTTTGTGAATTCATGTGTTATATGCTGTGGTATTGGATTGGATCTCTTCAGACTTGGATTACATAAATAAGTGAAAGAATTTTCTAACTTACTGTAAATTTTATAAATATTATACCAGATACTTCATACAAGATTAGATTTTTGGGAGAAAGGGGAAGGTGGTGATGTCCTTAGAGGAATGCTGTCACATTTGACTGTTCCATCTCTCCCTGGCTTCTCTCTTGCTCAATTCTCCTCACTCCCTGCCATGAGAGGAATGCTCTGCATAACCCCACTGGTTGGGTTTGTTTAGCTGCAATTTAGGGAAGGCCCTGAGCAAGAGAGGAGAAAAAAAGGCTTCAATTTTTAATTCTGGAAAAGAGAAAAAGATATTTAAATAAGGCCTGGAGGACTTCTTATTTGCCAGAAGTGAGTATAAAGACAAGTTTATATCCTTCTGTAACTCACCCTAATTGAAATTATGTATATTTCTTTTTCTAAAGTCAGCAGAATAATCCTGGCCTCTTAATGATGAAAGACTTTTTTTAAACTTTTTTCTAAGCACAAATAGCTGAAGTTTCCACTTTAAACTTGGGTGGCTCATTCATATTTCACTTAATGGTAATATGGTATTCTCTCTCTCTCTCTCTCTCTTCCCTTCCTTACCACCAAGACTGAAAAGGGGAGGGGAGAGGGATATGAAATGTTTCTGAAAATTACAGGAAATGTCTTTTCCTTAAACAGCTTTGCCAGGGAATTTCCAAATATGCTTAATGCTTATGGCTGAAGTTACAGCAGTTCAGTCTTCAATCATGAGTGGATCCTGTTCTTAAAATGTGACACCTCCTTCCAGTAAACAGTGTTGAAATTAAGTATATGCTTTGTTTCTCATCTTCTCTTCAGCAGAATTAATCATTCCCTGTGGTGAAATGACCCCTCTTGGGGGCTGCTTTAAACACTTGATTTACATGTATTTATTAAATTGGGCAAAGCAATATAGTGTCCTGAGGTGAGAGCTGATTTATTTGTAAGAACGTCAGAGAGGTGTGGCTGGCAGAAGGAGTCGTGGCATGGCATGGATGGCACAGAGAGGCAGGAACTGTTGAGTGTGAAGGATACCTGATAGCTTTCAGGGGACTTCAGGAGCTGCATGTGAGGCACTAAGGAGCAAAAGGGGAGATGCTTTTTGGCTCAGGACTTTGTTTCCTTGGGCTGTCACAAGGTGGTCTCAGATCTGTCTCTAGCCAGGGCCTCATCAGTGCTGAGCATTAGTTCAGTGTTCATTTCTGGGATGAGATAGGAAAAAGGGATAGCAACAAGTACAATGAGTGGGATGAGTTTTCTCTGTTGCCTTCTGCCAGGTTTTTGCCACTGGATTATGGAAAGGAGCAAGAGAGGTCTGCAGAGCGTCTTCCTGAGGCTCAGAAAGGAGTGAGAATCTGGAGCAGGCAGAGGGGGAAAAAGGACCCAGCCCAATTTCAACAGATCTTCTCATCCAGCTCTCTGCCCTGCTGCTCTCACATACATATGCCTGCATTGCTAATGATGGAAGAGAAAGGATCTCCAGCCTGGGTCCTTCCAGGGAAAAACACAGGGTCCCAGTCAAGAGATGAGCCCAGTGAGCAAAGCCTGTTCTGGGTTGTAACCTCAGTATTGTCTGAAGGGTTCTCACCCCATTTCTACTGCTGCCATTTGCCTAAAGACAGAGGTGATTGATCCCTGTAGTTCTTTTCCTTGTGGGATGCTCTGAGTTTTCAGGCTGTTCACCATAACATGCCCAGCCCTTTGCTGGGGTGGCTCCTCTCAGTTGTCATATCCTTTACTCCGTGCTTCAGAGCCACTCCTGGATCTCACAGCAAGGCACTGCTTGGCAAGAATTTCTTGTCATGGTTTATATCACAGTGATTAAGGGAAGCTGTCATCTCTTGGCAGCCATGATTTGCATCTTGGGTTTAGCTGCCCAGGAAACAGTTTGGAACCAATGCTGATGTGTTTATCTTTGCTTCCCTGCGTAAAAGTTGTAATTTAATTTGTTCCTGTTGAACAGCAGGTGCTTTGGGTAGAAGTTGTATGGGTATGACTGTGTGTAATGACTGGTGACTCTAGTGTCACCAGTTTCCAGTGCTGGCTTTTTTAGAGTGTGGGGAAGTGGGCTTAATTACACAAATGTCCTGTTTCATTGGTCTCTGTCCATGCAAAATACAGCTGTATTCACACTTACTTGTGGCAGTCCTTCCCATTAATAGGTACTGATCAAGCGATTGTGAATTTGTTTATTTCCATGCAAATGCATCACTTTTAATGCAGAGCTGTAGATTGGTTTTCTAGGAGTGAGATGAGTCAGAGTTTGGAAGGCAATCACTGGCTGGTTTTTGTTTGTTGGGTTTTTTTAAAACATCTCCACCTTTTTTTTTTTTTTTAATTTCAGTTTAAAGATAGTAGAGGGATTTGCTGTGGTGGTTTTCTTCTCTTTTCTTTTAGAAAATCAGTGCAGTGTAACTTTCTATTTTGGACCCATTCCATATAAATCAATGCCAGCATTCATAAATAACTTCTCACCTAGGTTTTCACGTTTGGGGGAGTTGTACAGCAAATGACTGCATTGAAAGTGTAAAATCCATTTCCTGTTTTGGATTGGGGGGTGTTTGTCTGGGTATTTTTGGTGTCTTTTAACCTTGTAATAAGGATTTTATTACTGTTATTATTAATATTATTATTTTCCTGTGTTTAGGTAATTCCTTCTGTTGGCCTTTGTATGTGGACCACCTTCTGTCCTGTTCAGACCATATAAATTGTGACTTAAATGCAGGTGAGTAACAGCTTTTGACATTAAATAATAATAAAAAATTCATACTCCAAAATTTTCCATTGCTTTGACTTGGAGATCATAGAGGGAGAACCATTTTTTTTTACATCCATTGACACTTTTCCAGGTTGTCTAGTGTCCCAGGCAATAGGAACCTAAAAATGTAATGTATTATAGTATTTATTTGAAGCAGATTAAATAATCTTTCATTCTGGTTGCCCCAGACCTATATGCAATGAACCTGCAGTGAAAAATTATTTTGAAATGGAAAGAGTTTCTGGCTCAATTGGGTGGAGAAGGGAGTCCCCAGATTAAGTCTGAGTGTCATTTGAATAGAGTGATGTAACACATCAGCAACCTCTTCTAATGCTTCCCGGGAGGCCACATTCTGCCAGGCAGGTTTCCCTGTGGTCACATTTAATAAATGTTTATTGTTTCACTGGGAATGTCAAAGAGATTGGCTCCTTGGTAAAAACAAGTGATGATAACCTGGCTTATTGTTTAGAGATGGTGATGGTGCCTGGATGATATTTGCCAGAACATTGCAGATGTTTGAGAGCTATGCTGAGTGGGTCAGCAAAATGTGGTGGTTTGGTGTGATTTTTGGTTTTATTTTGAAATAATATAATATATTATTTCAAATATGATTATTTGTGTGACAGGAAATGTCTGTTATCAAAATGGAAGGCCCATTCCTCTTGCTTAGCCCAGCTGTCTCAGTGCCAGTGGTAAAAATGTTGCTGAGCAGTAGGTGTAGAAATAGAGTGAGCTTAAAAATCTTACACTGCATAAAAGACATCCAGTTATTTGTGGGAGGTTGATTTCCTTTCTGACTCTCTCTGTGTCTGTTTTCACATTGATGAGCACAAAGAAGTGGGAAGACTTTTCTTTAGAACTAGTAATCAAAGTTGAGTGATAAGTCAAGCAGGATGAAGGACAAGAGTACTGAACAGAAAATCCTCCTTCATCTGTAGTTTTTCCAATGCATTACACTTGTCTTTCTCATAGTGGTAGAGTGTATAATCTAAAATGTGTGTGGCTTGTGTTTCTATAAGGAAGAGAAAATTAACACTATGCATAACACACTGCATATATAGGATAAAAGTACAGGTATGTTAAAAGTAGGAGAAGAGGGAGCACCCATAGATAAACAAAAGTGCAATTTTTTAAACTGCTTCTTTTTTATGAACATGGTACATGAGTGACATTAAAAAAAAAAATCTATGCATTTCTATTTAAGTGACTTTCTCTGCTGCTGTCCAATCTTGCACCACAGTGAGGAGTGCTCAGAGGGTGGTGGAAACTGTCTGTTCTTCAACTTCCCTGCCAGGAAGCATGAGGAAATGATGTGTTTATGAGATAGTGATGCTTATTTGACTCATCCAAAAAGCCCAAGACACCCTCATTCCCCTGAGCTGAGGGAATGACACGAGCCCTTGCTAACAGAGCTCTTTGAATTGATGAGCATTTGTTATCTCACTCCTATGTGTACTGCACAATGGCAGGTAATACATATGTGCTTCTCTAACTTCAGCTACTGTTTTTTTCCCCAGACTTTGCACTTTATTACACAGTTGTTGATCTCTGGAATTTACTGGCTTGCTTGCTGGATTCAAAAGAACAGCTATTCCTCAATTTCAATTAAAAATTTTATTTCCCTTGTGCTCCACAGACACTCTGTGTTTCTGAACACAGAGTTGCATCTTGAGCAAGGGTTGGACCTCTCTCAGCTGTCACTTAATGTCTTGTAGTACTGGGAAAAGGACACAATTTATCAGAACACAATTTATTTCCATATTTTGAGTCTGGTGAGGGAATGGTTCTTGCAGGAGAAGGAATTCACCCTGAGGTCCCTGGATCTGCAGTTCCTCTCTAGTTTGTGTACACTTCTTTGTCCAGTATCACATGTGGCTCTGGTGCTGGTGGTATTGGCACCAGCTATTGAACCACTGCCACTCCCAGTAACCCTGAAGCCAAATACCCCTTTTGTAACAGCCAGCAGTAGCTTGTGTCCTGCAGTTTGGGATGTTCTACATTTGCATTTTAATTCAGCTTTTCAGTTTTTCTTTTACAAGGGTGCCCACCCTAAGAACCATGAAAAGGACTCTAGGGGAGGATAATGTTTTTCTCATTTGTACGTGTGTTTGCCTGTTAAAAATAGAAAAATACACAGTTCAAAAAAGCCAACTCTGTCAGGTGTTTCAGCTGAGTCCATAAAGGCTGCCCATCAGGACCTTGTTCAGGTGCTGTAAAGTGATTTTGTCAGTTATGCATGACGTGGGAGCACTGCTGAGGCTCCTGACAAAGCAGGATTAGTGACATAGCCACACATTTATGACAGCAAGGTTCAACTTCAAGGTTATCTTCGTAAGTGAGGCAGAATCTTTCAGAGATTGCAGCAAGGCTTTAAGAAGCTCTTTTCTAGTTCCTTAATTGGGGTAGAATTAGAGACTCTTGTTCTGAGAGTTTTTAAAATGTATTCCTAACACATCTGCCTCTCATCCCCAGAAGCATTTGAAAGATGTGGAGCTTAGGGACATGGCTGAGTGGTGGACTTGGCAATGTCCAAGTTACTTTAACAGTTGGACTTAATGATCTTGGAGGTCTTTTCCAAACTAAATAATTCTATGATTCTATATGAGCTAAAGCCTGAGAACTCAAACAATCATCCTGTTGTGATGGAAAGGAACTGCTTGGAGTCAAAGTGATAGCAGTAGAAATTAAAGGAGTGCATACAAAATGTGAGTTATAGTGACTGAAAAACCAAACACAACCACTTAACCAAAAATGTGGCATTTGCTTATTTCACTGCATCTGAACCAGCTGGGATCCCAACAGGAATCCCTGAGGGAAGAGATCCTATAAAATTAAACATACATGTAAACATTAGTCATCCACTGTTGTTTGTGTGCAAGATAGTAGGAAATTACTGGTTTGGTTCTTTAAACAATAAGGAAAAGCTGTAAAGTGAAAAAGTGTAGACCTTTTTCCTTTCATAGTGAGTTAGTGTTTAATTTTCTTGTTTAAAAGTGCCAGTGTTGCAGTCCCTCTAGAAGGAGGAAGCAGACATGCAGTGTTCCCAGTGGGTACATGAATGACCCTGTGGGAGATTCTCATGGCTCAATTATGGATCACTTTTCATAATCCTGATTTCAGCATGGAACACTCTGTGAAGGCTTCCTAGCTTTAAGATCAGCAGCACAATGGCCTGTTTGGGGCAATGCATTGTATGACATCATTTTAAGAGATACTATACCATTGAGATCTAAGTCACAAGTAGAAAGAGAACAGTCAAGAAATTTAATTTTATCTGTTTTACAAATGCATTAGAAATTAAACAGATGTTTCAACACCTCATAGAAGCTGAATGATAAGAGGAGTCATGAGGAATAGGATGAGTGCTCAAGTGTTTACCTAAAGCAAGAGGCTGCCAGTTCTTCTTGTTTAGATAGGTCCCAGGCAAGACACCCAAACACTGATAGCTCCAGAAACTGAGAGAATTAAAATAAAATCCTGTACTTCATAAAATGTTGTTTCTCCCCAGCACCATTGAGAGGTTCCTGTCAAAACAGGACTTCAGTTGCAATAACTCAAGGTGGCATTACTGTTAAGTTTGTTGCTTTCACACCATGGGCAGAATCCTTTCAAGGTACTTGGTATGTTAAGGTAATAGGGCTATTTTAAAGGATTCTTGACTGAAGCCCACTTGCCCTGTGTTCTTTACATGCTCTTTACTCTGTCACCAGATATGACTGGTTTGAGTTCTTCACAAGAGTCTTCTGAAACAAGCCTCTGTTGTATGAAAGTGAAGGCTGAGAAAGCAAACAGCAAGCTTTTAGAAGATAAGAAGCATACTCAAACTGAAAGTTGCAAATTAAAGATTAAGTTATTTCTAACAGCATCCATTTTAGAGTTCTGTACTTTCTCAGCTGCTATATTTTCCTGTTATTACTTGAGCTTTAAGTCAGCAATTTATCCATCAAAATAAACTGTCTAGTTCATGAACAAACTGTCTAGCTTGCAAAGGAGCTGGAGCCAATTCCCACTAGAGCCAGTGGAAAAGTTTTCATTGAGTTCACTGGATTTGGTATCTGGCAACCTTTGATGTGAATAAAAGCGAATCAAAATTTGTGACAGGACATGTTAAGAGAAATTTTAAAAATTGCAGAATACTTTTTTCCTGGGTGGGAAAATTTCAACATAACTATCAAGATTCCTCCCCACCTCCCCCCCACTTGCATAATGTCATTTTGATAATCAATTATCTTTTGATACCTTCCTGAGACTAGTGTATAATGACTGCTCTTTGAGGTGGAGCACACCTGCCAACCAGGTTCTTTAAAACATTTAATTAAAACTTGGTATGGTACATTTTCCGATATATTTACTGTAGTTTAGAGCAGTATGCATTTCACTGCTATGTGCTTCCATTTATCTGGGCAAGCTTAACAGCACTGTCACAACAGCACTAAATCAGACAAATGGAAGATCACATTTTGTCAGCCTAATGTCTGTCTATGTGGAAGCTGGTGTTTTTCTTGTATTGCCACGTGAAACTCATGAAACAACTTCCAGTTTCCTCTTCTGGGTTGTTAACATCAAGTTTGTACATTTTGCAGAATTTATTTTGCTTAACATTGTGTAAATGTAGATTTGTACAATATATCTAAAGAGTAAAACATCAGTCCTGGGATTTCCCAGTGCCAAATGCAACTGGCCTGTTGGTATAACAGGACTTTTAATATAAATCTATTGATGGTTAGTATTCATTACTTCTCTTGTAATTAAGGTAAATAACAAACCTTTCAAATGGAAGCAGCAAGTCAACACTATAAAATCTAAGTATAAAATCTAAGTTCAAATGTGATCTAAATCCCCAAAGATTGTAGCCCTGTGGTGGCTCCTTTCTGAGGAGTGTTCCCACAAGGACTTGTGCCATCAGAACAAGTGTTGGGACACTCTGAGGAGCCTAAAGGCAGGTGAGGCAGTGCTACAAGCAGGGGGATAAAGGTATCCCTGAACAACATCTGATGTTGTTCAGTTGCTGTCAGGATCTCATTTTAGAGAAATGTAGTTTGTTTCACAGATTATTTAGCATAATCTTTAGTTAAGGTTAGAGTGCTGGGGATTACACATCTCACGTAAGTATCACACAGCTCTAGGAAGAACAGAAGAGTGCTCACTGCTTTACTTTCCAGTAGTGTGAGACCTCATCCATCTCTGGTGATTAATTCAAATAAAATGCCTGTGTCCTCATGTGGCATCTTGTCCTGGTTTCTATTCAAGCATTTCCTTCAGAGAGGTGGATCTAAGTTTGGTCCTTTGCTTTGTGTAGTTTCAGTTTCCCAACTTGCAGTGCTGTTTTGTGAAATATTTTCCAAGTCATTAAACTTTGAAATGTTTAATTTTTAAAATGTTTAAGTGTTTTAAAAACAAATTTTACTTCTTACTAAGCAGTGCAGTGCTGAAATGCATTTAAATAGTTTTGCTATTGAAAGGAATACCATGATTTAGGGCAGCATCTCTTAATTATGTTCTAACAAAGTCTTGTGAAGAGGCAGAGCTAGTGGCAACAAAAGTCTGCAATTAAGGCAGGGTATGTTGCCTGAAATACAAGATAATTGTCCAGGCAAGATCTTTGGAATGGATTCAGACGCTGCAGTTGCCAATGCTCTCTCTAGGTGTTTGGCACATGCAGCAGAGAGGAGAACTCCTCAGGAATGTGTTTATTCCATGTATGGCCCACTGTACAGCTAAGCCTCAGAGCTGAATGTTTTGTTCTGCGAAGTTTCATGGCCTCATCTGGTTTGTGTTTTTTGGTTTTTTTTCATCTTCCCCTTCTTACAGGCTCTCAATCTGGTGTAAAGCTGATGGGTGGGAGCAAAGGTAAAGAATGATGTAATGCAGCAGCAGCCAGAAAGCATCTTTTGTGTGAATTGTGCAATGGCCACTCCGTAGTCGTGTCCCGATGAATCAGACGTGAGGGGCGCTTTGTGGAGCCAACCCTTTGTACATCAGCCGGGAGCAGGAGGAGACGCTCGGTCCAACAGCTCTCTCTGAAAATGGATTTAACTTTTCTTTTGCCAGTCACTACCAGCATGACCTCATACACTTCTAGCACAATGGTGTGGCTAAGCCTTTGAGTACACAGCCATTACATCATCGCAGCAAATTAGAGAGGGCGGTGGGGAAAGAGGCCTCGCTGTTGTCATGGCCCATGAGATGATCAGGACCCAGCTCATTGTCCCCGAGAAGTTGGTGGCTTTGCTGGAGAGTGGGACAGAGAAGCTGCTGCTGATTGACAGCCGCCCCTTTGTGGAGTACAACACCTCCCACATCCTGGATGCCATCAACATCAACTGCTCCAAGCTCATGAAGCGCAGGCTGCAGCAGGACAAAGTTTTGATCACAGAGCTCATTCAGCACTCAGCAAAACACAAGGTAGGGGTCATTTTCCTCTTGTTCCTTGTATTTCTTTAAAGGAGTGGCTGGAAAGAAACTTGTAATAATTTTTCCCTAAATATTTAGTTAAACAAAAAACTAACCAAACCAACAACCAAAACCCAACAAGATTAGAGGGCTGAGTTTAGCTGAGATGTTACCTGATCAAAGAGGGTATTGGTTACTATTGAGTTTATCCTTAGATTCTTTGTAGAATCAGTGACAAAGGGGAGGCATTTAGAAATTACTCAGAAAGAATGTTCTCAGGATTCTTGTGTGTCTTGCAAAGCACAGTCTCTCAAATGTATGTAATTAAGGCAGGAAACATTCTCACCTAAACTTTGAAGGATTCTTGGGGGTCTGTGGTGGTGGGGATTGCTTAGCAAGTGGTCATTTGGTTTGCAAAGAAACTGCCTCTTTGTCAGTCCTGGCTCCTACTTGCTGTTTAAAAGTCTTTTCATGGGGGTAGTTGGATGAGTTTTGGTGTTTGTTTTGTTGTTTGTTTATTTGGGAGGAGGGGTGTGGTTTTCTCCAAATAGTGTTATCAGTGAAAAGAAAATAGCTATGCTGTTAAAATTAATGTGTATCTCTGTGTGTGTGGAGGGGATACTGGGTTTTTTATCCATTGATATTTGTTTTATGTACAGAAATAATTTACTATGTTCTTGCTTATGTGTTAAAAATGAAGCTTTTTATTTTATATATAAAGTTGTGCAGGTAACCAAAATGTGTGTGGCTTAGAAGCAATTTAAGGTCTCTTTACTGTTTATGTACAAAACTCTCAGAAACAGAAAGTGAGGCAGGGCCACCTTCTCAAAAGCTCAGCTTTTAAACAAATTCACCAGCCTAGCTGAAGGTAGAGCAATTCACAAGTGACATAAAATTACCAAATGATAGAAATTTATGGAGTGGGCTTCAGCTTGCAGCAAATAATCAATTTACAAGCTCTCCAGGGAATTAAATCTGAGGGGCTTATGAAGTATAAAATAAAAACTGTTTAGTGAACAAGTGCATAAGAAATCTATATATCTGAACTGCTCTTATAGCAAATATGTGGGAACCCTGATGGAGGTGATAATGTGGGGCTTTTAATCATCTTCCTCCTTCCTGTTTTACTCTGAGTTCCTTGTGTTTCAGATTGAAATTGATTGCAAGCAGGAAGTGGTGGTGTATGACCAAAGTTCTAAAGATGTGACCTCTCTCTCATCTGACTGTTTTCTTACTGTGCTCCTGGGCAAACTGGAGAAGAACTTCAGCTCTGTGCATCTGCTTTCAGGTAAGATGTAACAAAAAAGAAACCTCTTTCAGGTGACATGTACCAAAAGAAACCTCTGAAACACTTGAATAAAGAGAAAAAAGAAAATGCTGTTGGTATAGCAGACCTGTACAATTTTGCAAGTGCAGGTATAAACTTCAGTTACAGCAGAGACTTTTCTGTAGTTCTTTTTGCATATAGTGACACTCAGAATACATGCAGTGCTTAGAAATTGCATCTTACAGGGGATATATTACACCATTACTCTGTGTAAATGGAAATGGAGCAATGCAGAGGTTTTTAGAGGCATATGTCAACTACTTCAGGGTCAAAAAATAGTAAAAAAAAGGGCTTCCCTGGTTTTTTAAGTATTGTACATGGTAGGAAGAAAATCTCTTCCTTACTGAATTGGTAATTGCTAAAATAAGAACAAAGGAAATGATCTCCCAGAGTTACTGAGATTAGTTTGTGTGACATTTTAAACTTCAGCTCCCTAAGTGGTAGAACTTTATTTAGGTCTTTTCCTTCCCCCTCCTTTTTTTGTTTTTGTTTTTTATTTTAAATCCCAGGTCAAAGCACCTATAGAAATTCAATTCCTTATAACACAGGATTTGCTGCTCTCAGCATGTGCTAGTGTCATTATTTCTGTCATGGAACAGCAGACAGTTTTCACAAGACAGAGCAAGGAGGAGTGTGAAGTAGATCCAAGGCTGAAAGGAGGTAATGACAAATTTAAATAGGAAATCCATTGCAGTGAGTGGATCAGTGATTTAATGAGGTGTACACCTTGTGCCTGAGAAATGCTGAAACACAGGGACTGAATAATGGTGAGAGAAAGGAAATAACTCCTGAGAGATGCTTCCTCTTAGCAACAGGGTTTCACTGCAGTTTGTAGTGACTTCACATGACAGTGAGAGAGGTTGTGGTACTGAGAGAACTTTTCTTAACTTGTTTTGAAAGTGATTGCAGAGAAAATGAATAATTTCTGCGCTTGGACATGAGTTTGGTGCTCCTGTGAGCTTTACTTACAGTAAGCCAAGTGGGTTTTGCTTTGGCTAGGGTCGGTGATTTTGTTTTCTTTGCTGTCTAGGTAAGAATTACACCTGTGGGTGGTGGATTACAGTATTAGATTAGGTAACTGTTCTTACATATGAGCTACCAAGAATTGTGTGGTGTGTAGGCACAGTAAATGCTTAATGCAAAAGTGCTGAAATAAGTGGGTAATACTCTCTAAAACTGCAAATTGGTATTTGAAAAAGAAGCCAGTCTGGAAACAGTATCTCCTCAGAAATCCTTTTATTGTTCAAATTCCCAACTCTGCTCAGCTGTCCTGAGGGGTTTTTTAATAACCTGAAGCAGATTACAGCTCCAGGCAGGAATCAGACTATCCTCAACTTAACTTCCATGACAGAAACACCTCTCTTACAACTGAGAATTAGACCTCATGGCAGGGAGGTGTTGGGGAGGGGCCAAGCACAGGAAAGTGTCAAGAACTTCCCTTCCTCAATTGTGTGAGACATGTCTTTGATCTTGTGGCTCATCTGCTGGACCCTGTGAATGAAGTGCTCAGGGTCTCCTCTCTCAGACTGGCCTGTGGCTCTCCTAGGAATGCCCAGGAGGGAATCTGTTCCCAGCTGTTCCCAGCTTCCCAGTGCATCATCTGGCCAATCACCAGTTGCATGTATCATAATGATAATGGGAGAAATGGTTTTCTTTTCATTTCCAGTATGTGGGTGTTTTCTGTTCAAGACGAAAATGTTCCTAAGCCACAAGCAGGATGGTTGTGCACATGAGCTGGGCTGAACTTAGCCACACACAGCTGGTAAGGGTTAGTTTGGGAATCCAATGTGTCAAAATCCTCCTCATAAAAAGCAGAACTTCTACTTTAGCGTGTCAAATGGCAAACATCATGTTTGAGAATTTCCTCTTATATTTGTTTACATAAGAGGAAATTTGTTTCTTTTTTGTATATTTGTTTATATATTTGTTAAATTTTGTTTATAGCTAGGATGGGGATATTTATGAATGTAGAAACAACTGATGGCTTTAAAACCAGTGGAAGAGGAGGACAAGAAAAAAAGGGAAATATAAGGAAATTATTTACTACTGATCTATTACAATTCAGTGTTTATTTCATCTACTTTTTTTTTACATCTGTTAAAAATCTAGCTACTCAATGCACACTCAAGAAACCTTTTAGGAAGGAGAATTGGGTGAATTCAGTCTTGCAGCAAGCTCCTTGGAGTTTATTGATATGTGGCTGTAGGAAACGAGATAAAATATGTTGTCTCAGCAAGCTGATGACGAAATCTAATAAATGTTTATAGCCCATAATGAGGGCAGGGGTCAGTGTACTGTGTAAAAAGAAGAACCTTTGGACTTGAGTTTTCCATTTCCATATGCCACTAAATCTGGTTTATTTAAAACAGTGACCTTAAACATTTTGGGGTAGGAAAATATTTTTTGTTGGGGTGGAATAAGGAGTATTTAACAAATATCTGAAATTCCTGCCTCTGTTCTTGTTGAAACCCCCCATTACTGAGCACTCAGTAAGGTGTTTTTTTATTTAGGTTGTTCATGAAGGTGTGCTCTGCCCTGGAGGTTGTTTTTGATTGAAGTAATTATTGTAAAGACCTCAAAGGAACCCGTACCAATTAGTTTAAGATCTTGATATAACCTCATAAAAATACTTATAATTTGGTGAGGAATGTTTTCAGGAATTAAATATTCCATGTGGTACTTAATTTTTAACAGAGCACAGAATATCGATATGTTGGCACCAAGGACTTAATTCTATTCCCATCATGGCATCTTCTACTCTGACTTAAGTAAGATTTAAACACAGGGATGTCCCTGATTCCTTCTCATAGTTTGAGAATTGGATTTACTTGCAATGTAGTCCTTTTCCTAGTTAGTGGTGTTATGATTTTCCTGCTTGCTCTGCAGAAACAGTTAGAAGAGACTAGTGATTTTTGCTTGAATGATCATAATTAAGGCAGTAAACATCAAGAGTCTTGATTAAATTCTATTTCACTTTGTGAATGGAAGCATTCATATTCTACTTGCCTTAAATACTTGTTCTCCCCTGCTTTTAATCTGGCTTAGTTCTGCTCATTCAAGCACAGATGTCTTCAGACAGTTACCTTTCAAATGTTTCCAGTGAAGGTGAAGCCCAGCTTTTTATTTTGTGTTGATTTTTTAAAAAAATTTTGTGTGTGTGTTCAGAACACTTTGTCTAAATGGAAGGCATTCTGAATGACAGAAAAAAAAACCTAAACAAAACCCTTCTATATGTACAAACTGTCATTAAAAACTGTGATAGCCTAATACTGAAACACTGTGTGCCTCCCTCTCAAAAAAATGGTTGGTGGGGACTTGCCTTCTAATCTCTTGCTACCCTTCTGCCTATGAAAAATATCAGCAGTAATGGGATGTAGTGGATTCTTCCTAGGAGAAGGAGTAATAAGGAGAAATAAGTAAGTTATTGGTTTTTTATTCAGTGACAAATGTTGGGTTTATATGCATGCACAGTGAAGGGCATCCTAGGCAGAATGAGTTCAGTGACAAAGGTCCTGGAAACAAAGCAGCGAGTGGTTACCCAGGGAGTGTGGCAAAAGGTATGTTTTTGTTGAAACTTCCCAATTCCTTGTTTCCCCCAACCTGTCCCTCACCTGACAGGGTGTGTATACCAAATGGAAAACTTGCATGGAAGATATGAGAAGAAGGAAGCAAGTCAGGAACTCTTCTTCAGTATTCTTTATCCTGCCATTCATTTTAGAAATATTTGAAATTTGAAGCCCAATTAAAGAAATCATTAGTGTAAAATTACTGAAGTATCTCTAGGGTATATTCACATTTAAAGAAATCTTTAATGTCAAAGTACTGAAGTGTCTCTAGGGTATATTCACCATTGTGTTGTCTTACTTGCCTGAAGAAAAGCCTAGATAAGAAAAGGCCAGTGCTTTCTTCCTGCTTTATCTCCAAGGAGCCATTCCCTGTGGCAGGGGAGCAGGAAATCTGAAGAATATTCTCTTGTAGGTAGAGCTGGTCATTTCCATGTGCCGAAGGGACCAGGGCTGTGACACAGGGCTTTATTCCCGGTTTCTGCAGTTCCATATGGCAAGTAAGGGGGTGCCATGTGGTTCAGTGTGGATTGAAAGAAGGCAAAAGGTTCTGGCAAACATCCTGACACCTTTTTAACATTTGGATTTTGAGCTTTATAACTTTCAGTTATGGCTTACTGATGTTCTGAGTGTTTCCTACATAGAAGTCTTTGTAGAGTACCCCAGCACACTTAAATGGTGGTGTCATCAATTACAACAATCAGGTTATCTGTTTAGTGTGAAGTTATAAGTTTAGTGTGAATGAGCTGGTAAATATCTTGCCAATATCCTGTTTGGAGGAGAAGAGATTGTTGCACAATGATGAAAGCTTTCCTGATATTCTGTCTGGTTGATTCTATCAGAAGGAAGCCTCTACTGAGAAAGGTAAAATCTTGCAGAGGGAATGCAGAATTCCCAAGTGGTCCCATAGCCCATGGAGTACAGCCAGTGTTGGCTGGGAGGAGATGAGAGTGAGAGAGGAGCTTAGCTCTGAATCACCCCCTTGAAAAATTTCTATCAATTTTTAAGAGAGCTTAGAAAAGCAAGTACCCTTGGCTACAGCCAGGCCTTTGACTATCCTCCCACCCTCTGTACTTAAAATGCAATTTTCAGTGTTCATTTAGTGCCATAATTGTTTTAAGCATTTGAAGAATGGGAGTAGGGTTTATTACTTTCATATGTGTGTCCTGTCTTTTGAGAGAGAGCAAGGTTTGACTAAAGTAGAGCTCACATAACATTTCTCAAGCCCAAGAATAACTTGTTAAGTTTGCTTTTGTTTTGGATACCTCTGGATGCCTGTGAAATTTAATTGACTGAAATTATGGTGAAGGTTTTTTTGGGTTTTTTTCCCCTTAAAGGCAGAAAAGGCGAGTGAGGGGCTCCACTCTGCTCTTTGTACTTGCCATGCCACATGGCATT